ATGGCTTCAATGTAATTGTTGAAACTCCAACAATAGCAAAAGTTCTCAATTCACTAAACACTTTTTATTGTCAAGCATATTCTTAAATTTTTACGTTTAGAATGATTTCACTATGCAAATTTGAGAATACTGTTCTAAAGATTATTAGAATGCTGTAAATAGGCAAGAAACAGAAAGTGAAAATAACACGAAAGAATTATTTAGGTTTTACCATAAAAATTTTGTTTTGGCGAAGGAGTAATTTACGTAAACTTTTAGCTGCTTCTTTTTGCTGCTGGTGCTTTTGGTTAAATTGAAAATTCAGGAAACATTTTGGTGTGCAGTAAAGTCTGAATTGGAATTCAAAAACTGAAAGTGAAAACCTGGAAAACAAAATTTATCGCCAACTGAGTTTAATTTTGTAGTACTTATTCTTTATTTAATTAAGCAAAGCTTCTTTTCAGGTTTCGTAACTTCAATATTTGTAAACAGAGCTAGAAATAATTGGAAAAGAAAACTTACCTTATTTAGGTTTAGCTTTGACAACAAAAATTTTAATCTATAGGAGAACAAAAACTTTGCAGAAGAATCATCAAAAAAAAAAAGTAAACTTCTGTTTGTTGTTTCTTGAAAAAATCTTGAATAGACTTTTCTACAGTTTACTGTACTTTATAAAGAGTACACCAAAACTAATTCTTAAACGATAAATCATAAGCCTAAGAATTTTTTGTCTTATTTTACTTTTGCTTTTCACATTCTTGACTTCAAACTTTTCTATAAATTTCACTTTTTACATGCTTTTTGAAGTCTTTTTTACTGCAGCAAAAATTTTTAAAATTTTTCAACAGTATTTTAATTATTAGTGAATATTTTTATTCAGTCTCATTAAATTATAGAATCTATTCTTTTATTGCATATTACTTTTTATAGGTTTATAGTAACTATATGTCGTGAATTCTGTTCTGCTCAGTTTGCTTTTTTTATATCTATCTTATTCCTTTATTTTATCTTTTTAGATGAGGATTTTACTGCTATTTCACAGTTTTTCCACATATTTGTCACAAAAACTTTTTCCTCATCAACTGTTCCTCATTTGATACGGAGATTACTGATTTTGGCGTCACCGGGGTCATTCTCCTGCGATTGTACCGCTGTCTGTACGAAAAACAAAAAGCATCAACATCAATACAGAATTTAAAAAATTCAATTTTTACGGTGTCTAAACCAAGCTGGAAGTGTGATAGAGCGAAAAACAGTAACTGGTAAAAAACGAAATAATATTGCAAATTTCATTATTTTGATGCTTAGTTGACGTTTGTTAATTTGCAGCTATATTATCAGTAAAAGAATTATTTAGAAACAATATTAAAAAAAAAAAAAGAAAGAAAGTTTGAGAAAATTTAAAAAGTTTAGAATTTACAAAATTAAAACGACTAATTTCAACCATATATATTTTTTATAATTTGCTATAAAGGAGAGAAAGAGGCATATAAAAAGAAGTAATAGAAAGTGAGAGGAATAAAAAACTCAGGCAAAAAGAAAGAAAGAAGAAATAAGAAGCGATAAATCAAACAAACCTATTTTTGGTTTCATTTCTGTTTTTTCTCTTACTGTTTTGTTGATTCCTCTTTTATATATTCATAAATGTCCCATTGATAAGCTTCTTACAAAGAAATTTTTTCGAATGTTATCCAGGTGCTATTCCCATTTTTTGTCTACTTTCACTACAGTTTGCACTAAGTGAGCGGTGTCAATGAAAGACACTTGATCACTGATAAGCAATAATATTTGTCTTTTTTTTGAGTTGTTTATCTTTTAAAGTTGTTAATTAAAAGTTGGCTTTTTGGTTTTTCCTTGTTCTTCTTCTTCTTCATATTTGGACTGGTTACGTTTATTTGCAGAAAACAACAGTCAGTAAAAGAAACGACAAAAAATATGGTGAATACACAATGAGCGCATTTTGGTTGGCAGTAACTGACTGACAAAATGCAGGCAAGCATCAATAAAACAAAGATTGGATAAAACACTAGAATTATAATCTAAAATAAAGAATAATTAATCATGAATTATCAATGAAAACTGAGAAGAAAAGAAAAAGATAAAGGGAAAAAAAATTGGAAGCCAACAAGTCTGCTATAAATAAATCTGTAATCTCACATCAATTGCTCTACCTTTAATGTTCGTTCAACAATTAAAAGTTTCTATTAATTTGATCTCCAGATAATTTACAACTTTTGCATTAAATTTTTTTACTTTTATAAAACTTTTGTATACTTGCATTTCATACCTTTTTCTTCTTAATGCAACTGTTTCTAAAACCTAGTCTTTTCTGGAGAAAACTGATTTGTCATTATCAGATGGCTTCTCAGCTTACTCATCCCTAACAATCCTCTAAATTGTCGTCTACCTCAGTCATACATTTCATTTTCTGTACCTTTCCACATCAGATCTTATTTCTGTCCATGGTAAAACAACCACATGCACAAAAAGAACTAATCTGAAGCTGGCTTTTGAGTTATGCTGCTTTATGGCAAACCGGCTAATAAAATGCTACTTGGAAGTTGTTGGCTTCTGTATGATGATGATACTGCAAACTGGAATTCTAATCTAGCACCTTATCTTAGATGATAAACTGCCTATTAAAGCACCACGCAATTGTATAAAGAAGAAGAATTAAATGGTTGATGTGAAATAAAGCCAGAAAGTTTTTATATGCACTTTGCTGTTGAGACAACAGCTAAAAAAGAATTTATTTATTATATTTTACCAGTAATAGTATAATGATAATAATAGGAACAATAATAATAATAATAGGGTATTAGTTATTGGTATTACTGTTATTATAATATCATTGATATAATAATAATAATAATAATAATAATAATAATAATAATGAAAAATAATAATAATAATAATAATAATAATAATAATAATATATAATAATAATAATAATAATAATAATAATAATAATGATAGATAATGAATACTTTTCTTCTAAATACTGCAGTTAGTCTGCACAAAAAAAAAAGCATATATTCGAAAAATTTAAACTTTAAAAATCTGTAGGGCAGAAAAATTTGCAAAGAAAAAGAAATTTTTTGATTTTCTCAATTTCCTAGTTTTAGTACAAAACAAGTATTATCATTTAAACTGTGTTGCTGTTTCTGGAATCCAACTTAGTGCTAATTTTAGCAACCGGCTGATCGCTGGTAGATTTTCATTTCAGACAACAAAATCTGTCACATTGTAGATGCAAGAAAACAGTGATTTGATACTGGTTGTCCACAGGTTTATTTCTGTAGTTAATTCATCAAAAACGTGTTGCGGTATTAATTTTTCATCATTGTGCTTTTTAATCCAAATTATTCTACTCCTTTACTACGATTTACCTTTAACACAAGAAGTATTTTTTTGGGCAAAGCCAATCTTCTAAACAAGCTCAAAACGATGTATTCTCCCTGCCTGGAAAAAAGCGTGAGGTTGATTAGAGCAAACAGTTGTAGTGCACTAGTGAGCTCAAATTTTGTTGCAAATAGATGAATCGCTGCTATTATTTTCATAACAATTAAATTTACTGATTTTTTAAGTCACCGCACTGTCAGTAACTTTGACAATAATATTTATGCAGAAAAGTTGTACTTAACACTTGTTTAAGCAAAAACAAATTTTTACTTGCCAGGTAAAGTCACTCAATTGTGCCTTATAAGAAGCCAGAAAACGAATAATTTTGGACATTCCTGATCACCTGCGGTGAGCTGTTCTGTCTGACCAGGTTGATCATTCTACGATCATGAATAACTGGTCTCCGCAGGGCAAATGTAAGTTTGATGGCTTGGCGTATCCTGTGGCCTTTAATAACAACTCTTGGTTCCTCAAACTGGTAACTGTGGATTTTGTGCCGACCGCACCAAAAGATATTTGGCTGCATTGGTTTCAAAGCGGCAAGAAGAATTTTTTTGGCTAGTTTTACCATTAGTTTGGCAAAATTCCGCCGCGTAATTGAAAATTCGCTTTGAAAAGTGAAATCCGAAGTTATCATCACTGTCCTTTCAGGGTCGGGGATAGTGTCCTTCTGTGATGAGTGGCTTTCATCGTTTTTTTTTTTTCTTCTGTTTAGTTCTTACTGCTGTAGAAATATTCATTTTGTGGTGCAGCAGATACCATTAAAACGTGAGAAAAGATTGTGTGAGTCTTTTCCAAACTGACTTATTATCTGAAGAAATACAGAATGATTTTTTGGTTGTCCCGATAATCACGTCTGGTTGGCTTTTTTTCTTTTTGTCAGGTACTACGTGATAAATGTGTAGAAGTGTGTTTTAGGCAGGGGGGTATTTTATGGTGTTGTCTCATTTTTGATAATATTGCATATAAATTTTTAGATTTTTTGCACCTTAAATATGAACTGAATATGGTTAACAAAGTTTTAACTTGTAAAATCTTTCTACTTTAAGAGTCATTGGTTTCAAGCTTTTGCGAACCACATATTTATTTTTTTGACCAGGTATGTTTGTGAGGATAAATTTGTAATAAACGTCTATTTCTCCACTTTTTTTTTCTTTTGTAGCTTCAGTTTCATTGCCCTTCATTTGAATATTGTTTGCTAGATTTGATTTATCCTGACATATTTTGGCGCTGAAATTTTACTCTTTTTTTTACTCCGCGGAGGAACGTTTGAAACTTGAAATTGTTTCTGCTCTTCAGCAGTATTCACAGTAAATCAGGAAGTCGGTCTGTTAGCGAAGTTTGGTCTCAGCGAGCAACCTATTGCGCAGTGCCTGCAAAAATCGTAACTTTTAAAATCTTACTGCTTAAAAATTGAAAAGAATAAAGAAATTTTTCCGTACTGTTGTACTGTTAGCATATTCAAATTCAAGGGCTCTTTTTACATAGTTTTGAGTTTAAAATTTTCTGTTGCTTTGCAGCTGCGGGTCTCGAAATATGATAGTTCTTTCTTAACGAGAGTAGTAAGCTCGATTGTTCGATCCTAGAGGGAGCTCTTGCGTTATCATTTGAACATTGAAATGATACGCAGTGAGCTTTTGGACAGGATTCATGGTTTTGGGATACCTGAAGAATTACATGATACACTAGATTTACAACAGGGTACAGCAACGTGCTGTAAGTACAATCGTTGGGGTTCGCAGGCGGCAATTGGGTGTACTGATGGCCGTGTATATATTGTTGATTCAACCACAAAGGTTGTTGCCACTGTAAGTTCGGATTAATTGATTTTCAAAATTTCTACTGACAACTGCCATTTTTGAAATGTCTATTAAACTTTCAATGGAAGTAGTAAAGAGACTACTCTCTTACTTTCAAGCCTTTATTTTTTGTTAATTTAAGTGTTACTGGGTCATTTCAGCAGTGGATTTGCCACGCATATCCAATAACTGCTCTTAGTTGGTCAAGAAATGGTAGGAAGCTGTTAACGGCCTCTCTTGATTGGACTGTTTGCATATGGGAAGTAGTTGACTGTGCAAGGGTCGAGCGGTTTGTATATGGCTCACCTGTGTTCGCTGCAATGTTTAATCCGAGGTGATATATTTGGTTTTTGGAAGGTATTTTGGGGTATCAGAAACTCACCTTTGGAGTTAGCTTTTTTAATGAAGACAAGGAATTGTTTTCCTTTACTTAGAATCTAAACTTTTTTATTTCAAGGAATGAAAATCAGTTCGTTGTTCTTCATCTTGGCACTAATCCGGTTGCTGTTGACGTACAGCAGAAGGAGCAGAGAGAGGTAATTAAGAAATTTTTTAATGTTGCGGCATCTTCTTTTCTACTAATTTTTTCAGTCTAGCTTATTTCAGATAACACCATTTGCCAGTGCAGATGAAGAGGGTGGAGAAGTTACTGCTATAGCATTTGATCGTCGGGGGAACTACATTGTAACTGGTAGCAGTAAAGGGAGGATTACAATTTATGATGCCGCCACATTGCAGTTTGTAACTTATGTTAGACAAGGAGCTAATCATCAAGTAGAGCTTTGTCATTGAGTCAGGAAGAATTACTGTTACTATTTTTTGCCCAATACCTTATAGTCGTTTTCAGATAAAAAATATTGTTTTGACTAGGCGAGAGGATTTTCTTATAACCAACTCGCAGGATCGCGTCATACGTTCATACAGTTTTGTTGAGTTACTGAAAAAAAACACTGGAGAAGTTGTGGACACTGAAATGAAAATATTTGACACGATTAATAAGGTATGTTTTTGAAGGCATATTATTGTTTATTACTTCAGGTGCTTTATTTTTAGGCGTCATGGAAGTCAATTTGTGCGTCTGGAGACGGAGCATACATCTGTGCCGCTAGAGAAAAGTCACAAGCTTTACATATATTTGAAAGAAACACAAGTAGCTTGATGAAGATCTTGGAGGGCCCAAAGGTCAGTCGTTATTCGTGTTTGCAAACAGTTTTTATGGTTTTATTTTTGGGTTAGATTTTGGATTTTAGCGACATCTTATACGTAAATTTATGCTCTGAAGCTAATTTTTTCATGCCTTTTTTTAGGGTGAGTCGTTACATGACGTTCAGTGGCATCCTATCAGACCAGTCATAATGTCAGTTGCGACTAACGGGATAGTTTCTATTTGGGCTCAGGTACTCCGAGATTCTTTCTATATCATGTTTTGTTATGAACACCGCTTAAGTGTAGTTGATCGTGTTTCAACAGATTTCTATTTAGGCACATGCTGAAAACTGGAGTGCTTTCGCTCCAGATTTTACGGAACTGGATGAAAATGCTACTTATGAAGAAAAAGAATCAGAGTTTGATGAGGAGGACGAGGATCGTCATGTATTACAGTCTTCTCAAGCTGTTGTAAGTTAGATTTAGTCTTTATACTTCTTTTGTAATATACTATGTTTCAGTCTTTATTGTGACTTGGTTTTCCTTCATGTTATTCATGACTTTTTTGTACACAGATTTTTAAGGTAGAAGACGATGAAGAAGTAGACGTGGTATCATTGGATCCTTGTGCTGTATACTGTAGTTCAGATGATGACGATAATGATGGAAGCTCATATGTTACGGATCTCACCGCTAAAAAGGGGCCTTTGTGGTATTATCCATATCCACCTGAAATTGAAGAACCAGAAGAAAATCCGTTTTCCATGCTTATAAATATTATGAATCACAGTCAGAGTGATTAGCTATGCGTGGTAAACAGCTTTTCTAGAAAAAAATGCAGTTTGTACTCGATGGTGCCTATTTCTCATATATCCCTTGACTGCTGTTTAACAGTAATTTAAAAAAGAGTCGGTTTATTAAGCAGATTCCAGCCTCTTACCTTTACTTAGGTAAGATTTTTAGAAACTTGTTTCTTCGAATTATGTTGATTTATTCAGTTATTTTTGCTCCCACTTCAAGAATGTAGTTAAAAGTATCGCAGCAAATTTCGTTAATACTGCTTGAACTTTTGCTTGTGCGCGGAAACTGCTGAAAAAGTCTTAATTACTGAAAATTATCTTGTATTAAATTGCCTTCTTTTTCACTAAATCTTGTGATAGTTTTGTATTATAGCTGTCGTCAGTATTTGAAACTGAACATCATAAGTTGCACATATGTGAGCGATTCAAACATTTTACTGATGTATTTTACAATCGTTGAGGTTGTTTGCCATTAAGTCTGTACGTTTTTCTATGTATATAAATCGTGAGAATTTTGTGTACGTGTTTTGAAAGAAATCACTTTGTCACTGTTTTCTTAGTTCTTCGGAGTGTTTAACAGCAAGAAACAGAGATGCTAATAAATGCGGTCGTGGTGTACATCTTACTGAAGTTTCCAGCAGAACTTTTTGGTTGATGGAAATTACTCGTCAACTAAGGGCAGTGTTTTATAAAGTTTTAGAAAACTTTTTAAAAAAACTGAAATAATCCATTGTTCTTCTTGTTTTTTTTTAAATATAGGTGTCACCAAACTTAGATTTGTGGAAAGTGGCAGTGTTTGAAAATAGCCAGTTTGGTCGTCGAAATATTTTTCCGAATTCTCTGGTGACGGGTGCTCCGATACACTGTTCAAATACCGCCCATTTAGAATATTTTAAATTTTCAATTGTACAAGCGGTTGATGTATGCGGAAGATCATCGCAGAAATGCCCAGTTTAGCCACCTCCGTTCGCTCGTCTATGCGTTGGCCAGTCTTTAGAAAAAATGTTATTCTTGCCCAATAGAGGAATTTTTTTTGTGGGGATTAGAGGTGTGTGAGATATTACTGGAGATTTCAGTTGAGTAAAAAGGATCTTGTGAATATTTGATCACTGTTTTGTAGAGAATAGATTATTGAAGATATTATAACAGGAGAGCGGAGAAGATGAGTCATAATCCTGTTCAAAGATGGAAATATTGCACCCAAAAGTCAGAAAAAAAGCCTGAAACAAACCTGACGACAGCTCACCTATATAGGCCGTTCAGTTGTTGTATTCAGGATTTATTGCTCTTTTGAGTCTATTTCCCAAACTATTGAAAAGATTTACAGCTCCTTAATGATAATTACCCTTAGATATAGACTTGTTCATCAAAAGCATCAAAATTATGGTGAAAAGCGTTAAGAATTAAGAGATTCTTGTTTGTAACTATACGATAATGACGTACTTTGATTTAACAAAATGAATTAATGAGCATCACAATGATCTATTGTTTGATTTGTCATATCCTTTGAGTAGTCTGAGAAAAAAAGAAAACTGCAGTCTCAGAAGAGATTACGCGTAATGGCCGATTGTGAAGATCAG